TCTGTATAAATAAAATAAATCTTTTTTTAAAACAAGAGTTTTTAAAAAGATTTTCTTTATTTATTTGTACATACATACATACAAGAACTGGGGTACAAGCCAGAGGTATGGGGTGTTAGAGGATTCACCAGAGACACAGAACAGGCAGGTTGACTGAAGCACACTGCTGAGGGGAGCAGCAGGAAAGACAGGAGAGGTCTTGTGCCATATGGTCACCTCCTTGGCCAGGGATTGAACTCATGCCGCAGTGGCTATGGATAGCTTCATAGTGCTGCCTTTAACCCATGGTACTACCAGGGGGGCCTGAAACCTTTACCTCTCATTCTCTTTTGTCTCTGGACTTCAAGTACTTAGTGTTTTCACCACTGAACTGGGCTGTTATACTCTACTTTGTGGCATCTTTGTACTTAACTTTTGCAATTTCATTCGTAATTTTTCATGTGCCTTGTTAGTCTCACTGAATCGTTTTGGGGGTTATGTTTAAACTCTAGGGCCTTTGAAACCAGTTGCATATAGGGACGAATTTCTTCAAATCTGTATACCTTCTACTCAGAAAATAGATATTAAAGTGAAACAAAAGGAAGAGATGTATCATATCATCATTGTTCACCTCTCATAAATGTGATGATATTGTAAAATTTGCCTTAGCTAGATTCTTAGTTCAAAGCTTTATAAATGTTCTTTTCTAGACCACACATGGTGAGTGAGGAGAAGATGTCTTTAAGAAAACGCCTAACAAAACCCAGTGAAAATACTGAAGAAAATGAAGATCAGAGAAACCCTACAAAGGAGTCTTTAGAGATACCTCATAATGGTGAGGCTTTTAAATTTTTTTTTAATATACTAATGAAATAGAACAATTTCAGTATGGAAAATTGGAATTGCCAATTTTTTGTTAGCACTCTTTATTATAAAGTGGGTATCCTGAAAGCACTAAAGTACAGAAGAGAAAAACAAACTGATAAAGACACAAGAAAGGAACAGTTCAATTTAAAGGCCAGTCATAGCCCCCTTATCACACATGTGACTAGGTGAGCTTAATTGGTGTTAGCAGAGTGTGCATCATGTACTTTAACTTAGGATTTATACTGCATAGATTTTTTTTTTTACTGCATAGATATTTTTAAAAATTAATCTATTTATACATATTTTACATCATTGTTCACTTCTGTACAATGTTTGCCTTCTTTTCTCAGGTGTAGTCCTCATAGAATTCCCACCACCAAATCACCTATGCACCATCACCATAGTCCCTTGTAATCTTCCTGCTCTTGTTTTGATCCCTTTCCCTCTTGTATATTTATAGCTGCCTGCTAATTTTATTTTGTTTTTTTATTGTTATTATTTTTTCCCCCGATCCCTTAAATTTGGTTCTCCTAGGTTCCTCTTATAAGTGAGACCATTTGATATTTTTCTTTTTCCTTCTGACTTATGCACTGGGCATCATTACATAGATTTTTATATAGCAAGTAACAGGTCAAAAAATAAACTAGATAATAAGTACTTTCTTGTTAATTCATTGAACTTTTAAAAAATGTATTTGCTATGTATTAGATACCAGTCATTTATTTTTTCAATCACCAATACGTATTGTAAGCTGGGGCTTATAGTAGTGATCATTACAGATGTGTTGTCTTCATGGATCTCCATGAATAAGTAAATTCCCCTGTACCCCTTAAATGAGTTGGATTATTACAGATAAGTGCTACTATTTAATCTCAATAGAGGAATGAATACAATGAGAATTATTGGCAGAGTACCTAATGTAGTTCTAGACTATAAAATCTCTGGGGGAGAGAGTAGGGAGTTTTATTAGTTCTTATATCTAAGTTTGCTTAATACATGAATACAAAGAAGAGTATGACGCATTACATTTTGTTAAGGTCAAGGTTTATACTTAAGATTGATAGTCTTGTAAACACAATTCCAATTGATGTCATCTATTGCATCAGGGTATTTGTTTTTGCAATGACATTTGTATAGGTTTGATTGTGACAAGGATTTAAGATTTGTTTGGTTAACAGAAGGGGTGCAACATTCTGAAACAGATTGTCTTTGACACCTGAGACTTCTTTCATAAAGAAAACATCCTTTTGTTTTTCTTACTTTAGTTGTAAATAAAAGCAATTGGATTTCAGGATTAGATGATAATTCATGTTGTTTTAGAAACAGAAAAATTGCTTTATATTAAAACTTCCTGTCTCTAGATAAAATTTTCTGTCTCAGTTGTAAAAAGTTATTACATTATACTAATTTCCATGTATTTTTAACTTGATCTTAGTCAAAAGGTCGAGAAGTGATCTGAATATATTTCTCAGTACTCATTTTCTTAGTTCATTAAATTTTAAACCTGGAATAGTTTTAGCACAACTATTAAAAATTATTTAGCTTAACTAAAAAAGTATGACTTCCTGTTGGGTTTAATATGAGTGAGATTCACCTTTAGTAAATAAAACAAATTTCTCTATTTAGTATTTGTTCCTTCACTTTGGGGACTAAGCAGATGGATCATATGGTCAGCCAGCCAGGACCAGGGCCATCTGCACCACCTGGGATCTTGTTAGAAATGCCCCACCTCACATTTATTGAATAAAAATTTCATAAGAGATTCCCAGGTGATTCATGTGCCAATTATAGTTGAGACACAGCTCTCAGTGGCAGGTCTCAGTATGTGTCACTGAGGATCTTCTAGAGAGACAGAGCAATAGGATATCTCTGTCTCCAAGGACTTTTTTTTCCATTAAACTCAACTTGTGTGATTCTTGAATTCTTACTTTGTGGATCACAATTATAGTAATCTGGGGGGGGGGGGTGACTTTATGTCCTAATCTCAAGTGTATGTGGGTACATGTATATATCAGAATTTTCTGACCCTTAATTTTAACACCACATACAAGTATCAACTCAATTTGATTAAAGATATAAATGTGACATCTGACAGTATCCCTGGAGGAAATCATAAGGAAAATGCTTCATGACATTGAGCTTGCATTGATTTCTTGGATATATCATTAAGAACACAGAAAACAATAGTAAAATTACACAACTTGGACTGCATCAAATTAAATGCATCTGTGTGGCAAAAGAAACAATCAAGAGAATAAAAAAAAACTACTTAGAGATTGAGAGAAAATATTTAGAAATCACTTATCTCTTAGAGGATTAATATCCAAAAATATAAGGACTCCCTACAATTCAATAGCAGAAAAACAAACTGAATTGAAAGTGAGCAAAGGATTTGAATATACATTTTTCCAAAGAAGACAGATGGTTGACAAATATGAAAATGTGATCGCCATCACTGATTAATCATCAGAGATATGCAAATCATAGTCCACAATGAGATAAAACTTTACATCTGTTAGGATGGTTATTTTAAACAACAAAGGAATAACAAAACCAAAACATAGTAAGTTTTGGTGAGGGTACAGAGAAATTAGAACCCTTTTTATACCATTGGTAAATGTTACATCAGCTTAGGAAATTATGGTAACCCCTCAAAAAATTTGACATAGAATTCTCATAAATCTACCTACCTTAAATCTGTTGTCCGTAGTCAGATACATGGAAAAAGAAAATGCAGCATATGTACGATGGTATATTACTCTGTTTTAAAATAGAAGGAAATCCTGCCATCTGTGACACTGAATGAACTTAGGAGACACTATATTAAGTGCAAGAAGCCAATAACATGTAGACTAATACTGCATGAGTTCACTTACACAAGATATCAATAATTAAAGTCATAGACACACAGTTAAGTGATGGTTATTAGAGGACAAGGGGGATGGGGGACTTATTATTTAGAGGGTATAAAGTTATGTGAGCTGAGTAAGTCCTAAAGATTCCTATACCACATTGTGTGTATAGCTAACAGCACCTGCTGTGTACTTGAGATCTACCCTTAACATATTTTTAGTATTCTTACAACAGTAAACTTAGTTTTCCTTCTTGCCACTCCATTGATTATGGTCTTTGCACAGAAAATTTTAAGTGTGATGTGATCCCATTTGTTTACTTCTGTGGCATGTGTGTGCTTTTGTTGTCATATCCAGAACATCATGGCCAAACCAATGTCATAAAGCTTTTCTCTTGTTTTCTTTTAGGAGCTTGTAGTTTGGGGTCTCACATTTAGAACTGCAATCCATTCAAAGTTTGTTTTTATATGTGATAGGAAGTGAGAGCCAGCTTCATTCTTTTACATTGGATATGTACATCAGTTTCAGAAGTGTCATCTGTGGGAACCCAAAAAATGCTCTTTCCCCCTCAAATCCTAAAACCCGGAACCTGTGAATTGTACTTTTTATATGGAGAACAGAGAAGAGTTGGATTTTATAGATATAATTAAATTGGGAATCTTCAGATTATCTTGAATATCCACGTAGGCCCTTAATAGTGTCACATAGGAGGCAGAGGGAGATTTAACTTTACACAGAGGTGATTTGAAGACTGAGCAGAGATTTGTAGATACTGGAAGACTGGAATGATATGACCACAAGCCAAGGAATGCTTGCAGTGCATCAGGAGCTGAAGAAGAAAACTAGATTCTACTTAGAGCCTCCAGAGAGAGAGATAGAGTGCTGCTCTGTTGTGACACCTTAATTTCAGCTCATCTTTCAGAACAATGTGGGAATAAATATTTGTTATTTTAAGCCACCACTTTGTTGTAATTTGTTACAGCAGTCTCAAGACAACCATAATACGCTAACTTTGTATAAAAGCTTTGAATCAACGGGCATGGGATATCTTTCTATTTATTTGGGTCTTCTTTAGTTTCTTTGAACCATGTCTTATAGTTTCTAGAATAAAAGTTTTATACTTTTAAAAATTATCTATAACACTTTTGTTCCTTTTGATACTGTTGTATATGGAATTGTTTTTACTTGAATTTTCCAATTCTTGCTACTATATAGACATGTAGCTAGGTTTTTGTACATTCATATTATATTCTAGCTTTCTGAACTCATTTATTTAGTGCTAATAATTTTTATGTGGGTCATACAGTATTTTCTATATTACAAAATAAAGCCATCTGCAGTTGAAAGTGAGTTTTACTTCTTCATTTCTATTTTAATGCCTCTTACTGTCTTTCATTTCATTTTCTCGCCTAACTATAGAATTGGTAGAATTCCAATTAAAAAATTGAGTAAAATTGGCAAGAGTGGACATCCTTGTCTTGTTTTTGATTTTAGGGAGGAAAGTTTTCTGTCTTTCCATCAGGTGGGTTTGATCTGGGTTGTTAGTAGATACTCTTCATCAGGTTGATGAAATTCCCTACCTTTCTACTAATTTCCAGACTGCTGGAAATTAATTTTGCTATCTTTAATTTTGCTGCTTTGTTAAAAAGTAAATTTTTGAACATTTGATAAATAACTAATGTAATAATTGCTATCATAGGTTTACCAGGTACTGTTTAAAAAATATTAGTTCAGTTAATACTCAATTCTGTTGAAGTTTATTGTTCTTCCCAATAAATAGGTAAATATCTGAACACTGAAAAACATGCCAATTGTAAGTGTCTTTTGGCACAATTGTGAAAAATGTAAAAATTGTTACTGTAATCATACCATCTCATCCAGTATGTGCATCTAATCATAAAAATGACTGGTCCACATAGAGTTTTGACTAACTAAGTAGGTTGCAACTACATTTTCTCCTTAGGATAAAATTAAAACATATTTGCTTGTTTTTAGAAAATGCATGTAGGCAGAATTTCAATTGTTTATTTTTCCTTGGATATATTCCTAAAAATTGTTTTCAGATCAAACATAATGCATGTTTATGATTTTTTCCCTTTGGGTAGGTATTGCCAAG